AACTTTATCGTCACCGTCCAAAGCATCGATACAGATTTAGACCAGTTCGAAATTCGTTCCAAAATTGTTGTCAAATAATAGTAGCAATAGGTAAGAAAGCAAATCTATAAATAAACTAGGTACAATTGCAATTGCATCAACGTTTTTCCCTCGTTTTTATCTCAGATCCAATAAAAAATATATATCTTGTTATTTTTATAAGCAATAATCGTTCCGACGAATTATAGATGGCGTGTTGGTCTACTGGAAGTGAAAATTTTCGCCCTACGTTAATAAAAACTTCTGGTTTGACTTACTAATACGTTTATAGCGATTTCAAGTGGTCAGACATCTTGAACCAACCACGGAGCCTACTTAGCATTCAAGTGTTTCACTTCCGACAATAATAATTCTTCCGGTACAAAAAGGTACTCACGTCAATCGGTCTGATCGTAATGTAGTATAGTGTGTACTATTTTTAGAACTTATATTGTCAAACGCATGGAATCAAAAAGCGAGATTTTTTGAAAGCGCCAAAACAACCTTTCGGAAATTCAACAGTGACCTCGTAAACAATATTTTCTCGAAAACCTCTTTGAAATATTGTTAAAATTGGCGAAAAAGGAAGTAAAAATTACATTACGACAAATTAAGGTTTATAGTAGAAATAATACAATGCACTTTATTCGACCCAAGATGGAGAGTTATGCGGACTGCTAGTGTCGGGTTTGGGTGCATTGCCCCTGCATTTCTCTTCACCGCTGCAGATAACAAGAGGCGTTTCGTACGCTGAGACGTTGGGTTGTGCGACACGACATTACTGTTACCTGTTTTATTGTGCGGGCTATACAACACCCCGTATACGATACCATAAAAACGACAGTCACGGCCCCACGTCGGGCGCCAAAATCGCTTCCCCCCTTGACCCGGCGATTGACGCTGTCGCCGTGGTATTTTTGGCATACCGTCCGAAAACAAATCCGTACCCGTTGCTAAGTTAGCTAAACGCGAGGAACAATACAACAATACTTGTATTGTAACAATTGTTCTATTTATAGTGGGGTGCTTTTCGAAAGGTCATAGTCTGATTCTTCGCGGCTATTTTTATTTGTTCGATGCCGTGAGTGATGTGTGTCTTTATCTCGATGATCACGGTGTGTAATTCCTTGGCGTAAAGAAGGGCCGGGAATCTTTTACAGTCACGGAGCACACCGATAGTCATATTATTTACGAAGTATGGGCGCTGGTTTCCCGAGAACGAAATACGTTCAATTTGTACGACGCACTTACACAAATATTTTCTAGAGTAATCCCAAATTTTCCACGGATTTTTTTCAGGAATAAGCAATCTGTTTAGTAACATTATTTTTAGCTCATGATCGCTCGTGAAAATTCGATAGTTGCCAAAAGGTATTGAATAAATAGCGCGGGGCTTCGAAAAATAATCGCCTCCGTCAAAACTCGAACTCATTTCACACCCTGTATACGTTAAACTGTAAAACAAAAATGTATAACCTTTCCAATGGGGACATGTACTACATTTAACTGTCTGTTTGTAAATTCTAGATCATTCCGTGTCTATTTTCACTGCCTTACGCATGTATAAAACGAAGTAATTTATACAGTGTGTAACAAAAGTCGGGAGCAATGAGTGTGAAACAAAAACGAATAAGTTTTGTTGGACAACGCCAAGACACGTAGATTGTTTTAACAACCTCGTTAAATAGTTTTTGACCAATTCCATTGGTAGAATATGTTCCCCCCTGAAACCTCTTATTTTCTAAAAATAAAAAAAATTCCTCAACGTCAGAAAAAAACAGTTTAACTCAGAAACCATTAGAAACAAACTGTGAACAAATGTTTTTAATTTACGCTCAACATTCCGGATTATTTAACCTCGTATTTAACTAATCAGATTATGGAAAATAACTACTCTGCGGACTACAGCTCCAACCAGAATTGAAGTGTCCTTCAAAAGTGTATATAAGGGTATTAACTCTCTTACTAGGCCAACGTTTCAATTTTATTTAAAATCTTCTCAGGATTATGAATAATAGTAGGAAGAATTGTGGTAAAGTTTTTTGCCTTACCACCATACGTATTTTATTATTTATTTTGAAGACGATTAAACACATTAGTTTTCTCATAGAAACGCAAATAAAAGGTCAAAAAATGTTTAATTTGACTCAATTATATGATGAATTATTTTAATTCATCGTACACTAATGCAAAAAATTAAAGGGTGAAAATAATTTCCGAACTTTTTCCGTGATTTTTGACAGACTGTATTTAGGTGAAAAATGGTCGTACAGAGAATTTAAAGTCAGTTTCGAAAACTGGAATAAATTTCCTATAACATACTGCCGCAACTTTTCGGATATTTTTTTTTCATCTTTTACACGATTTTTAAAAAACAGGAAAAAAAATGGGTAATTTATGGTTTTTAGAAAATTCATGGCTAAATTATAAATATTCACGAAATGCCTAATGTTCAGCATGACTTTTACAGTTCGATATACCCAGAAGAACCCTGTAAAGTTTCATCTCGATCTAGCCAACCGTTTCTTTGTTTCAAACAAACTTTTGGTAAAAATTGAAGGGTCGCGTTTTTTGAGCTTAAACACTTAATCATAATTAATATGTAAAAAATTTTTTTTTGTTTTTCCTCACATTTTTACCGCAAATAACGTTTAAATTGATGAAAAAAAAAATTTCGAAAAATTTTCAGTTTTGTTTTTTTGAAAAACCTTCCGGACATTGAGGAGAACAAAATCCAATTGGTTCGGCTTTTCCGTCCTATGCTTCAGTTCACAACTTTTAATTAAATTAAAATTAAAGTTGATGACTCGAACCAGATTTCGATCCCGATTCATACCGTTTTTTGAGATATATTACTAATTTTTTTTTTTTTTTTTCATCAATTTAAACGTTATTTGCCGTAAAACTGTGAGAAAACCTGATAAAATTTTTTTTTTTCATTTTAATTCTTTTGACCCTTTAATTTTTTGCATTAGTTTATAACAATTTTAATGTATATTTTCAAATATTTTTTTAGTGTCTTCAAATTATGTTCTATGCCTATATTCTTATCTCTACATTATTATTTATAGCCCCTAGGAAGATTTTAATTAAAATCAAAACGTTGGCCTAGTTTTGTAGGTTATATCTTGCTCACACTCAGTTAAACCTTCCATTAAACACTGTATATCGCGACTGCAGCTCGCCAGGTGGTGGCATTACTAAAACGGCGACAGAAAAAAGCATACGATTAACCTTTCACGTTGGAATGGATATCAAATAGAAAGGTTTATTTCGCTACACGATGCAATATAATTGTTGTGGGAAACTTTAAATGCAAAGTATAACTTTCTTCAAAGACGATTACATCAGTGTTTCCTATTATTTTCCTAGTTAATACGATAATTTCCCAACAAGGCTATTCAACAAGAGCATGGAGGTTTTTATCTGTCTACTGCATACTTTGATTTGTTATTTATTTATTTGTTTATCTGGTTATACAGAAAACAGTACCTACAGATTATATATGAGATATTATTGCTATATAGGTGTATTGTAAATTATTTTCAACATTCAACATAATAACAAAACGTTCATTAAGCATTATCTTACTGGACTTTGACGCAAAATTATTTACTGGAAGTCGTATTAGTCACAGTATCTACTGATTTATTTACATTCCTTTCGCTCTCTTGGGAATAATAGTTTCTATTGTTTTATCGAGAAGAACAAATTAAAAATATATACACAAGGCTAATAAAAATTCTTTAAAAGGAAGAGAGGACCCTGTATTTCAATGTTTCACTGATATACGCTTATTAAATAGTTGAATTTATAAACAATATTCTCTGAAAACAACCGGATTTAAGAGGACACAATTGAATTTTTTTGAAATTAATTGAAATGTACCGAAAATGCTAGAGCACAAATTTTATATGCTCCGTATATCCATGAAACTTTCAATCAATACTCCGTTGATTTTCCAATCAGACACCGTCAGGTGTTTATCCTAGTAAGGTCAAGGAATGGCATTTATAGTTACCTACCGCAACTTTTACATTTTGCATTGAATTTTTAATTAAGCAACAGAATAAATTATCGGACACTATTAACAGCGTATCGCCAGAGGTATGCTTTTGTTTGAAATAGTTGCATAAAGAAAATTACCTCAGAAATTATTATTCCAGTTTTAACGAAAAAAATCCTGATTCATTTAACAATGATAAAATATCTTCATATTTAATAGAAACAGAGTCGAATTTCTTTAGTACAACTAGGTACTTGAACTTGGTACCCATATTAACAAAAATATATAATAAATTCAAGTAACAAAGTTATATAAGACAGAACAATATACAAATAGAGGGTGTACCAATTTTCTATTATATAAAAGTTAGAATTTGGAAAAATTGTATTTATATTTTGTAACAGGGCTTGACCGCTACGATTTTTTTCAATTATTAAGGGCTAATTGTATAAGGAAAAGTGTAAACTAATTAATGAAGTATTACCCGCTTGCTTCCTTTAAAAATTGTTTGTATCTGGAATTACTACGACATAAGTACCATATGGACCAAAATAATCAGTTCAGAACATGCTACTCATTAAACGAACATCTGCCAGATTAATTGGACAAATTAATAAATTTATGAGCCGCTTATACAGGTAGATAAAACACTTTCAGGTAATTAAAAGAATTCCTTCCGCCTACGTCCCCGTCGTAGTTGAATAGACACAGACATTTAACAATTCCTATAATAACCCAGAGGTGATTCACACACTAATTGCTGCAAGTCCCTGTGTAAACCTAAGCCTACATAGTGTGTATCCGTCCCACGCACACCAAACCCGTTCTTTTTACAGACAGAGGTAGAATGATGGATTGCTCGACCTTGAGACTTTCTATGGTTATAAAAATAGCTTCTCGAGCCGCATACACAACGACTTCAATAAAATGCGACAAAAGCACTAGATATAAAAAAATAACATGCAAACTGACTTACTTTTGGTTGTATCTTTTACTCCTGGGGCTCAGGTTGGTGTTGAAATGGTCACTTTTCAACAGGATGGAATTGTCTCTGCCCGCCTGTGTGGGGGAAATGGTCATTTTAGTACGGTACGACACGGACAACTGCAAGGTTCCTATGGGGGTACAGATCTGCCCGACGCGAACTTGCTTGTAGCCCTCCCCGAGGCAATGGACCTGCGGCTCATCCATGTATATGCGGTAACAGATGACGAACGAGTCGGGTCCTTGTCTGCGTGATAGTTTGTAAGCCGGGGTGACCCTAGTAACCGACACTAGCGATTTTAATAAAATACCCATTCGGTTGTACACTGTATGTACGATTCTCGCTGTGGAGTCACATTGTTCGGGCAACAAGCCAAGGCACCACGATTCTAGGACCATCTGGTCCCCTTCTACTGTTCGGAGAGAGATTTCTACACATAGTGGTAGACGAGATGACAGGACTTCACCGTTCAGTGCTTTCTTCGCTTCTGCCAACACCTCTGGCAAATCGTTGATGTTCAGGTTGAACTAAAAAGCATAAAATGAGACTGCAACATTTTAAATGCCTAATTTATCTTACCCAGTCTGTTCCTGTAGTCTGCGGTTTGCATGGTGTCGACACTTTTTCACCCAACCTAGACTGTACTATGATTTGGGTGGATTTCAGTGCGAGGAATTTGGTGAATTTGTCCAATTCTTTCTTTTCTTGACTGCTGAGCTTCATGGCCATGTCATTTAAAAGTCAACTTGCAACATTTTTTACAATGCTTAATAGCACATTGGGCAAAAATAATGTATTGTAAACGTGCACAAACATCAATTTTGATCAAGTCTATGACTGTTTACAAGACGTTTACGGAACAACATTACGACATTAATATTCTCACTGTATTAACAACACTAAAACCACTTCACATATAGCAAAAAATCTGCAATCTGTTATGCGGGTTAAGCCCTCCTACACGACCTAGACAAGAATACGCGATCCACAAATAGGAATTCTCTACGTGTGTTATGAAACGCAGTCAGGAATTCACTACGTCACCAGAGACACAACCAGTCACTTTAAAGACACTGAAATAGTTGACTTTATTCACTGTTTGGGGAAATTAACAAATATGCTTCTTTTAATTTTAAACACTCTCTGTTAATAAGGCAAATTCTGATAAAATCTTACAATTTCTTATCTTTTAAGAAAAGTAGTGCTAAGCGCCATCTTACGAAAAAACATGTAACTTGTCTAAGGTTACTAATTTCGGTAAACCCTTTCATTGTATCCCAGGAGTGCGTTCCTTAATCAGAATTTAATTCACTAAATATTACAGTATCGTTAATATTTGTTTCATTTCCGATAAAACATTTGCATCAGAAATTGTTGAAGTCCTATTTCTCTTTTTTTTGTAGGCAGTGTAAAGTGGTCAAAAGTTCGACAATTCTTCTTGTCGTACATCGTACGGCGATACCTACAATCTGCTGGATTAGTAGCCCTGAACAAAGGTCGAATGAGACGTGAGAAGGCAAATTGTGTAAATGTGATCTACGCAGGCGCCTGTCTCCTGTCTCCATTTTGTTCAATTGTCAGAGACAAGAAGAGTACGCCTGCATATTTTGTGACAAATTTTCCAATATTTCCATAGTTTTCCTCAAGATTCTTCGGATAATTTATTTGTTATGATTTAAATAATTCAGTATTTGGCGAAGATTATAACTTGTTCGTGAGGTAAGTTGTAAATTACTAAATTATAAATTCTAGAAAGTTTTGTGAGGCAATGGCGTCGTGGAACATACATAAATTAGTTGACTAAGTTCATCGTTAAATTTTACAAACCTCTTTTAAATTTAACATTTACACGTGTGCCTTTTAGTTATATTTGTATAATAAGTGTAATATAAGAGTTTTAGTGCTTGCAATCAAAAAGGGTGTGTTTATTTTGTGAAAAATCAATATCCCTTCCCAAGATATTGATCTCTGCACCTCGAAAATGGCTGTTGCTGCAACAACAATGGGAACAAATTACTTAAGTGGTATTTCCGCATATTATAAAGTTTCCTTTTTGTTCGCTGACCTGAGTCGCAACATTTTACTGCACGATGATTGATCAACGCTAGGAAATCTCAATTCATGGAATATATTGACATTTTTGTATGTTCTGTGTTCTAGTTTTCTCGTGCAAAACAATTAGTTAAAATATGTTTTTATTTAACTCTTATTCAAATTGTTTTTATTTTAATCGTTTCAAGTTTATTTTTGTTTCAAGTAACGTAACTTCATTTTAATCGACAGAGACGCTAAAAATTATTTATAATGACTTTCTCTTACAGATGTATTGCCACACTGGATACCTATCTACATATTTATTTAGGAATTTTATATAATTGATTCCTTTATTTATTTTCCACAAATAATCTTTTTTGTGAGTTGACAAATTTTTGCACAACTATAAATTTCTATATACCTACCTAAATCTATACAGCATTATGTTAAGATTTTATTTAACATCTATTGTTATTTGTGTTGAAAATATTCGTAACCAAGTAACATTTTTTTTGGAAGCTAGTCATAACAGTTATTTTTTTTGTATAGCTCAATTCATTCAAAAGGTTGTGTTCTTACTGGCTTTTCTGAATGAAATAATTTTAATTTCTGTTTCATCGAATAATTAATTGTAATCTGCTGATTTTTTACCAATAACTTCTCGAAATGTTAATTATAGAATGAAATGCTTATCTCTTAGTTTAGTTTATCTGAATGAAAAGTAATTTTATCAATACTACAATTATACCAACAATTAATTGGGAGGTGAGCAGCTGCAAAATTGTACTATCACGATTTCCAGGGCAATTTTCATTAACCATAGTGGGTCATAAAAATAGCTTTTAAATATTTTCCCTCGGGGAATATTTTTAACCTAAATAACGTTCGATTTGTATGTTATTTTTTCTATTCTATTCTAGTTTCATTAAAATGTTCATTTCACAGTACATGTTTCAGGCATACTCTATTCTATATTCATCACATAAAAAAAATAATTAAGCTTCTACTTTTCTTTTTATTGTATATATTTTGTTTATTACTTTTTAATTGCGAATATTGACCTCAACAGTTCATGTACTAACTTTTTCTCTTTTATTAATGTTTTGGTGTGTGGGATTTTTTAAGATTTACAAAGATAAAGTTTTTGAGCCGTTTTCACTTTTCAAGTCAAGTCGATTATTTTCTCTCATATGGGAGCGTGGGGGAAAAAACTTAATGGCTTATGGCCACTGAAGACTACAAAAAATAATAAAAGCATATTTCGAATTTCCAAAAATATATACAGTGTGGTCTATAACAACCTGCAGCCTATTCTTAACCTTTTGTGATTGACGATTCGAATGATTTTTTTTATATATGTAGTAGTTTTCTGGATTTGTTTGTTGGACCAAATACAATGATCCAGTTGGCATTTTTTCTTCTTTATTTTGTATTTCCAAAAGGTAAAAATTGAATTGAAGTTTGAAATATGACAGTTCGTGAACTATTTTTATGATTTTACCTTTTAAAATGTGATACTTGCATAGTTATATAAAACACTAAATAATGCAAACACTACAAAAATCCTTCGAGTATAAAATTTATATCTATCAACATATCGCTGATAATATGTGTTTTGTAGAAAACTCTTTTATTTAACACCAGTTTCCTCACGTGTATTTCATTATACCTAAGTTTTCTCCTGAAGGTCTGTTCTCTGTTTTTCATGGTAGTTAATTCTGCTCAAACATGATTGTATAGACATTGGGAGCTACTATAGTAAAGTAGTCTTTCCGAAGTCAGTTGAACCTGTATAAAACACCTAGCAATAAAATTAAATGAGTTTCATAGGCATCCCTAAAAAAGTTTTATGCTAAAGGTAAAAAATTATAATAAATAGTAAATAATAAATAATTATATATATGTAGAAAATTTCTGTTATATGTTCATTTGACCAACAACATATTTTAATTATTTATGTCTTCGAAACAATTTTATTATATTGATGGTAATTTCGTTTTGCTCCGTTTCAAAAGGTCTCCAAAATGCCATGTTGTAATAATACTAGTAAAAAAAAAAAAATAGCCCTCTTATTTCTCCCTTTCGCAGTTATATATATGAATGATTAATAGAAGGTGCTTATAGTAAATTAAAGTTACCTGAATCACACCAAATTCCGCATTGCTGCACTGCACTGTGAGGCCATTTGTTGACAACTGAATTTATGTCCAGATCGTTCAGTGCGGCTGTGTTTGTGCCGCGTTTGCTCATACTTCAACTGGGCCACCAGACCTGTATATGGGTATGGCTAAATAAATATGGGAACAAGTTTTTTAAATACTTCAATACCGAGTTGCTGCGTCAGCGACCGAACCTGGTACATACCGCCAACCTCTTGGTTCTTCAATTGAGATCGGAAAAACTATGACAGTTTTATTGGGGATAATAGAAAAAAATATATAGCAATTCGTACACAGTCATCAATATCAATTTTATGATCTGGGAAATGGAAGAGACAAAAATTTAAAATAACTAGAATTTTTTCCAGGGCATAGACGTTTAATGTAAACTGTTTTGAAAAAAAAATTAAGGAGAAACTACTAAATAAATTAATAGTAACGTTTAAAACATAACTAGAAGAAAAGAGCAGCTTTGAGAGCAGCCGATGGTTTTAGGATTTTTATAAAAATTATTGTTTGATTAGAACGCTTTGTTTTCAAAATTTGATTTTGAGGTGAGTTGTTTTTTTCTTAATACTCGTTGAAATGTTAAAATTATATAATTATATTATTTACTATAGTGTTTAGTACATTTTATTTTTAACGATGAGTATAAAAATTTCTTCAATATGACAAAAGGCATTGTCTGAAAGAATACGAATAAAAAAACGTCGATTGTTCGATCAGTCGATACTCAGTCGTCCATCTTTCGTCGTATTTAATAAAATATTATAAGCTTGAGAGTAATATATTCTTATTTGCCAAACAAATAGAACATGATTAACGCAATCCTAAAGCGAATTTCTCAATTCATCTTTAAGGCAACACTGTCTTGCAAAATAGTCTGGGAACATCTACAATTAGCACCCAAGACAGCAATGTCAGCAGTTCGAGATAGAAGAGGACGTTCCTAACTTTCCTCAGTCTTGTGCTGTAATTGTTGCCACCAGTTGGTCGTTCTTATGACTCTGCGAGATATTAGTATACCATCCCCTCTTCCGCACAATTGGCCGCTATTGGTATAGAATGTATAATTGTTGCAGTAAAGCAATCGACGTAAATATGAGTAAGGTGTAGGCATTGTTTTTCTTGATGAGAACACAATTGTTATTAGTTTCACAATTCCTATTATTGACAAGATCGTATTTCAATAATAATTGAACATATTTTTAATGATTTACTTCTCTGGGCCAATGCGCAGACTAGATAACGGTTTATCTACATATGCGCCTTCACAAACAAGTTAAATTCTTGTAATATTTCCCTTTGTTATATTTTTTATGGTATGTTTTGCTTATATAGTTATTTTTACTGAGACCTAGTTCTAAGAAAAAGTACAGATAAATTCATTTTCAGATGTTAAAATTTAGAAAGAAATTTACTATGAGTAATTTTCCAGTTATTTTTAAAAAATTAAATACTTTTAGGATAATGTAAATATAAAAAAATTACGCTAAACCTGTTCATTTCCCGAAAAAATAAGGATATTTTGCTAAAAACAATTTTAAATAGTATTTGATTATATTAAAGAAAAATCATGGGCGTACATAGACACCTTTAATTTTCTGAGGCGTCAAACTCCCTAAAAAAAATTAAATTACTCCACCAATGATTTTTTTTTAGTAGATAATAATTTTCGGTTGATTGATTACGTCGTAAGTTAAATTTTAAAAAAAAAATACTGAGAAATGGCTCGGGTATTTTTTCCGAATGAAACAGGAGACTTCTTTTTTGTTAGAGAAACCGGAATTAAATGCATTTATCGAAAATCCAAACTAATACAGTGACGTCGATATTCTAGAGTTCCTTTTGTTTTAGAATGAGGTCTTTTATCAACTGTTAAAGTTTGACCACAAGAACTTATTTCGTTTGTTAAGCATTTCTGCTTCGAGTCTCTGCGAAGTGAAATTATTCTAGAAACTGAAACTATAAAATTACGGAATAAGTGTCATTTATGTGGAGAAATCAGAAATTTGGATTATTTATGCATTCAAAAACGAACTAGACGACTATTATCAACTATTACCAATTAGAAAGTTGATAATGTACAACAGGTGTCTGTTAATTCGAACGGGAAAACCGTCAGCAGCGAAAGCATATTTTTACTTATAATACGTCAGCGAGGATGTTCTATTCGTCAATTAAATATTGTGTAATCAATCATAGGAAGTTTCTACCAGCTTCCTAGTGATTAATTAATCTAACCTCCATATGCATTCATATAATAAAACTAAACAATTTGCATTATGCTTACCAGTCTAAGACTGCTAAAATGTGGTTTCAGAACGTAGCTTTATTTTTCATAATACTTTCTAAATAATAGGCATATTTATTTAATCCTTTGGGACATAAAGATGTCTGGGACAGGTCAATGTACAGAGACAAACAAAATACCAGTATTTGTACTCGTATCTCTTAACTACAAAATCAAATACCTTGTCCTCTACGCAGAATATCAGTGATAACGTTGGATTTTACAATGCTAAG